AGGATCCTATTGCGGTAAAAAACTGCTTTCATGCCTTTTATTACTTATTTATTGTTGACAGTGTGAATGACTAATTTGTTTAGCAGTTTGATTGGATGATGGAAGCAATAAATCTAGTAATGAATGGTAACACAAGCTTATTGCCCATTTGCCCCTTGTGATTTCTGAACTTAGAATGAATGGTAACACGAGCTTATTCTCCTTTAATCATTTCAATCATCTATTGGCTTTGGCTATGATGAAGCTTCCACAATCAACTGATTTTTGATGGGTTGGTGTTGTTTTTTAAGTGCTGGCTTGGTAACTTTTGGTCTATAGTTGCCGCCGGTTACTTCAAATGTTTATGCCCCCATACAAAATTTGAATTGGAAAATAAGCTATCTGAGCCTATGTCACTTGTTAACTGTTTTTGGTAATACAACATTGTTCTCCCTTTATCATTTCAATCATTTACTCAATTACTTGGCTATGATGAAGCTTCCACGACAAACTTATTTGTCATGGGTTGGTGTTCTGTTAAGTTATGGCTAGGTAACTATAGTTGCCGTCATTTACTTGATATAATATGCTCCCATACAAAATATGATCTGAAAATTAGCTATCTGAGCCAATATTTACCTTAGACAATGTGATGATTACAGATTTACAAGTTTTTAACAATACAATTTGTTTATTAGAGGCTTTATATGTACTTTAGTACTTAATGACATTATTGTATTTTTTTTATAGGTTCAAGTTTGAGAAGGCAGTAGTATAAACAGTTGAATGGGCGCTTACAGATTGTTTTTGTCAATTTATGTTATGATTATTTTGTTATGTGTTAAACACTAATAAACATTATTTGGTTAGTCAGTTTATGAACTAGTAGTAAGTTCATTAACTGTCTTTCTTTATGAACTGAGGTATGCCCCTTTTATTGTGTAATTTTTGTCACTTTTGTTAAACACTTAACACTCAAACTCCTACTTTGTCAATTGGGATATATCTATATCATATATGCCCCTTATGGCCATATGTAGTTACTTATGTAAGTTGTATATTGTGTTATTTTTCTTGATTGTGTTATGCATTTTCAACTGGTTTTGTTAACAGAACTAAATTGTTGGGAAATTAGTTCAAAATTTTGGATATCCGAAATACCCGAAACCCGACCCATACCCGAGGGAATCCGAAACATAAAATATCCGAAATATTTTTACCATTTTCTTTAAGGGTTGGGTTAAAGATTATTACCCCGATACCCGAACGGGTTTACCATTTCGCAACCCGACCCGCCCGAACCCGACCCGCCCGAACCCGACCCGTGCTCTCCCCTAGTCACATAGCTAAAGTGTATCGGCAAAATAAATCAAAATTAACAATAAGGATGTTTTTACTTGGACTGTAATTTGTCCCAGACCAGACCAGACCAGACCAGACCAGACCAGACTTGGATAGTTATAAAATACAAAGAAACCAGACCTTACCAGACCTTACCAGTTCAGACCAGATCAGATCAGACCAGATCAGCAAATTACAGTCCAGGTAAAAATATCCTAATACTTATCAATTGTTTGGGTTTGGAGAAATGTAAAAATCTAAACTAAATTGATTTAGACGGTCCGATATTATTCAATTATCAATTTCGAACAATACGATTTCAATGTAGTTTCATTAATTCCAAGTTCCAACTACTTACACCAAATTACACAAGTTCATTTTTTGTAAATTAGGCCCTCAAATTTTTAAGGCCCAAGAAATTGTACTGATCAAAGAACGAGTACTCTGATCAAGTTCAACAGATAATCATAAATACTTCCTCCGTCCTGCTAAGATTGTCTCATTTTACCTTTTCGAGAAGTCTCATTAAGATTATTACATACCAAATTTGTTAAGGTTTGTGTGGCTCTAAACCATTCTTATTTTATCAATTTAATATCAACCACACAAACTCATTTTTCTTAATAATCGTGCCAACTTCTCATGTCTGGTCTAGACGATTTTGTTAAGAGACCATCCTTGGGGCGGTTAACAGGGTCCGGGTGGTTGCATTTTTTGGGAGTCGAACCAACCAACTGGGTCACCGTTCATTTTTTTTTTTTACATTTCAAACATTTGAAACATTTGAAAAGAGGTAAATTCATTTAAAACCTAAAAAGGGGTAGGGAAGGGAGATTTTTTCCGTATTAATGTTAATTATTTAATTAATTAATTACGAAAATAGGGTTGGGTTAAAAGTATTTACCAAAATACTGTTGGTTTAACAATGGTCGGGAGAATGTCGTCCAACGGTTGGGCGACTTTCTCTAAGTAAAAACGGGGTCAGGGCAAAGAAAGACAGTACACTTGGGCGACTCAAAGTGAAGAGCAGAAGCAGCGACCGACGAATCCCCCCACCAGCAGCGAGCCACGACCAGCGATTCTCGAGCTCCGGTGAGGTCTCCTCCATCTTCCCAAGAATCCTTCATCTCCATCATCTTCAACACTCTTTCTTCTTTCTTCTAGGTAAATCAAAATCCATTTCATCTCATTTTGAACTTAGGGTTTTTAATGTTAAAAATTTCGAATTTTTGGATTATGAATTCATTGTGAATTAAGTTGTGAAATGTGGATATGTATGAAATGTTGAAATTTGATTTTAAGTTGATTGTAAATTTTAATGCGTATTTTGACATTTGGGCATTTGGGTAGACTTGAATGTAGCTACATTTGGGTATTGAAAGGTAGACGTGAATGTAGATATCAAAATTTTGGTAGTTTCATATTGAAATGTGAATTGTTTGTGAATTTTGACTTTTGGATATAATACAATTTTGGTAGTTTTTTCTATTGAAAATTTGAATGTGTTTAAAGTGTGTATATTGATGCCTACTCATGAATGTTGGACAATGAATTGTTATTAGAATATGGATTTCTCAAACTTCTCAATCATATGTCATTGGGGAGGGATATCACTTTAGATTAACCTTTATCGACCTGATACTGGAAGTGATATTTTTCACTTGCTGTGTCTCTATCACGTAGTACTATTTAGTCATTCCTTATATATTACTGATTGGGTAGGTCATATATGCGTTTCTAGCTAATGTCTACCTTCTATCCTGTGCAATCTGGATAGCAACAGTGGCTTTAGAGTTTAGATTTTGGTAGTGGATGATTCCTTGATTTATGAGACAATATATTTGCTGCAAGATTTTTTTACTCTGTTTACATTTCAGTTGTTTATATTACTAATACTACGTATTAGAATTTGTTACATGAGACGTTTTGCATTGAGCATAAGAGAATCAAATAAAAAGAACATATTCGAATTATTATCTTCATTAAAGAATACAGAGCATGCCAGAAGGGAGAAAAGCCAAGCTAGAAACAAGCATTAAAGGTTGGTTCTCTTTACAACTATTGGGTGTCTAACTCTTTTTGTCGTTGGGCAGCCTTTCTCAGTTTCTCCAATACTGAATCTTCAAATGCCTGATATTCGTGGGGGTCTGGTTTGCTTGATGCACATGAAAACGGAGACGAAGCTGTTGGCAGGTTGAGTGGCATGAGAGGCACGACTAAGAGAGGATTAGAAAGATCTCCCAAAACAACCCCGCAAACCGATTCAATGGCGTCTTTAGACGCCATTACAACAATTGCTGACCCTTTGCTCTTAGAACTCTTTATCACGACGTCTTCCACCTTACCAAACTCCCCAAACAACTCCATCAACTGCTGGGCAGTATACCCCACCACACAACCTTTCTCCCAAGAGACTTTAAGTGCCTTCTCTTTATCTATACTAACAGCCCCCATGCAAGGTTTCTCTAAGGTGCAGGTTTTGTAAGCCTGCATTGCGCGGATTCTCGCGAGTTCCTCTTTGAGTTTGTTGCTGATTCGCTCTTCCTCCTCTCGGGCTCTAGCCGCGTCATCTTTGGCTCGGGAGGCGGCGCGCTCTCTTGCATCGAGGTCTGCCATCATCCTCCTACGCTTTGCATCATGGTGAGATTGGCGTTTAGACTTTTCATGTTTGACCATGAAGAGATCATCAAATAGCTTCCTGGCTTTCTTGTCCATAAGAATCTCATATGAAGTTTTCAGGTTTTGGAAATTAGCGTGGGCATTTGGATCATCGAGTCTCTTGTCTGGATGCAATTCCAATGCTTTAGAACGGTAAGCTTTGGATATCTCTTTTTGGGAAAGCTTGGATCCTTCTTCACCAGAGGGTAAGCCGAGAACAGCATAATGATCAACGTGATGAGAATCCATGTTGGCTTACTTCTGTTTACTCACCTCCAAGTAGATCAAGACCAAAAAAAATTACTCTGTTAGTGCAAGCACAAATTAAATAATTGGATCGAAATAGAAGAAATCAATCCAAGCGTGCAAATTATAAAGCAAGAGATTATAAGAGGAATCTTTCGAGGAAATTCTAAATATGGGTTCGGAAAGCCGTAAATACTAATGAAATACTGTATTAGGTAGGATTTATAAGGAACAGACAAAAGCTATTTGGAAACTTTTCTTCCAAGACTCCGAATCAAGAAAGAATAAGAAAAAGATGGGGTCATGTATAACAACTATAGCTATGTTACGGACCATCTAGAGTATTCCATAATTCCATAAAATAAAGGATAAAAACAATATTATACGTAATACAAAAAATAGATACGTATATACGATCCCCTAAAACAGTGGAGGCCGGAGAGTTTGATTTTGTTCACCTCCCATTTAGAGGGTGACCATCACCCCCCATTACTTTAATTATTAAAAGTACATTCACCTATACCTATGGACAATACTCGTAGTAGCTTTGGTTTAGAAATAAGAAATACCATGTGGGGTTAGTTTAACTTTTAGCCATATCCTTTTACTTTTTTACTCCGTATCTGTCCACCACCCACTTTCTTCAAAATTGGAGTTTTCTTCAAAATCGAACTACTAACCTGTGAATTCCCTAAGTAAGTTCCGTTCTCATTTCTGCAGCCAAAGAAAATTGGACTCCATGTTCTTTGCTTCAAAAATCCTAACATGCGACTTCCGTATAGTTCTGTTGACATCTCCTTTGGCAGCTGGTGCCTGGTAGAGATGAATTAAGAAACCTTCATACGCTTATAAGGTATTTCATAACTTTAGGATGCTTTTTCTTTCACTCATACTACGTATTTCATTTTGCAGTTGTCATTAAAAGTTTAGACATTTCGTATCATCCATCTTTATTCTTAAAAATATCTCTAAAGATTTTATCTGTCAAAATCAGTTATTTAATGAAGTTTTTTTTTTCTTGATAGATTTTTTCTTGATAGATTATACTGAGGTCTCAACGAAAAAATGAGGCACCACTACTTTTCAATATTATTTATAGACCTGAAGTATATTTCAATTTGTTTCATACAGATATTTTATGGTAATTTGTTACTCCTCATTTTTTAGATTTGCAGTCTTCATCAGTTATCATGAGTATTCCAGACTTGAATTTTGTTGTGAGTGAAGACACTCCTATTGTTAATGAAGAGTATGGGGGTTTACATAACCATCTCTTGGAAGAAAACATTGAAATAGAACCTGAAATTGGTATGGTTTTTGATAGTGCAGAAAATGCTTACACTTTTTATAACTCTTATGCAAGAAGGGTTGGTTTTAGTGTGAGGATTTTCAGAACAAACAAAAACAAAGTTGATAGTAAAGTAATTCAACGTCAAGTTTTAGTGTGTTCATGTGAGGGATTTTACAAGAAAGTCAAAACACCTCAGAAGAAACGAGATGAGACACGTTGTGATTGCAAAGCATCCTTTGCATTTAAACGTGTTCCAAATAACAAGTACCAAGTGATTGGTTTTGAACCAGTGCATTCTCATGACCTTGCACCACTTGAGCATGTTGGTTACTTGAGGTCTCAACGAAAAATTGAATTTACACAAGCTGAATTGATGACAACAATGCATGCATCTGGGTTGAAGCAAGGACAAATTTTCTCCTATATGTGTGAAGAAGCGGGTGGAATTCAGAATCTTAATTTTACAAAATCAGATTGTAATAACTTTCTTCAAAGAAGACGTGCTGAATTTTTCAAAAAAGGTGATGCAGAATGTCTTCTAGAGTACTTCAAGCAGAAAAAAGAGGAGAACAAACATTTCTTCTATTCCTTCAGAACATATGAAGATGGTGAAATATGTGGAGTATTTTTTTGTGATGCAAAATCTAGACGTGATTATGGGCTCTTTGGTGATGCAATCTGCTTTGACACGACGTTTCGAACAAATAAATATGACATGTTATGCGCACCCATTGTCGGCATAAACCATCACGGACAAACATCATTGTTTGGTTGTGGCCTACTAGATGGGGAAACATATGATGCAATTACTTGGTTATTTACTACCTTTTTTGAGGTTATGGGAGGACAGAAACCAAGGAGCATATTCACGGATCAGTCAGCTGCTATATCATCTGTAGTTGATGAGCTTTTGCCTCAATCCCATCATGGATTATGCTTGTGGCATTTATGTCAAAATGCGGCAAAACACTTGGGTTCTAATGGATACAAAACATTTTCATCACAATTCAAATCATGTATTTATGATCCAGAAACTGTTGAAGAATTTGAGCAAAGTTTGGAGAAGTTTCTTGAAGAAAATGGGCTTCAAGATAATGAATGGCTGCGAAGAACATATGAGGTGAGGAGAAAATGGGCTCAAGTATATAGTCGTTCTCACTTTTGTGCAGGTATGACCACTTCACAGAGAAGTGAGAGTATCAATAAGTTCCTCAAGAACTACTTCACACATGGAAGAATTGTGCTACAAGAATTTGTGCGCATGTACTCAAGAGCAATGGACGACCGTCGTGAAAAAGAAAGGGAGGCTGAGCATAAAACAATCCAAACAAAGCCGAATTTCATTTCTAATTGGTCAGTTGAACGTGAAGCAGCCAAAAAGTACACAAGGAAAATTTTTAATCTGTTTCAACAAAGTGTTAAGAAACTCATAGATTTGTCACTTGAGTCAGAGCATAATGATGGGAACGTGATTATTTATAAAGTTAGGGAGATTGAAGGCTGTCAAAGGGTTCGCACAGTTACATACAATCCCTTGGAAGAAATGGTGACTTGCTCATGTAGGAAGTTTGAGTTTCATGGAATTTTATGCTCACACGGGCTGAAATTGTTTCGCCACTTGGAGATAAAAAGTTTGCCTCCTCACTACTACTTGAAGAGATGGACAAGAGACTCAACGTATCAAGATATTTGTGATCCCGATGGAGAGATAATTCCAAATGATAATGATCCAACTCTAACTTCTCGATATAGTGAGATATCACACATTTCACAAAGAATCATTTCCAAAGGCTCCAGAAACATAGATGTTTTTAACATATGCAAGTCTCTATTGCTCAAGGTCGAAACAAGTATTGATCAATATTTGGGTACAAATATAGATGAAAACAATTTGAATCCAGTCATTGTTGTTGATCAATCAACTCCAAACCCCCAGATAATTTGTGAATTGCGAGATCCAAAAAAACGAAGAGCGAAGTCAAGCAAAAGAATTAAAAGTGCATTAGAAACGAGGTCGCGTAAGAAGGCTAAACAAAAGTGTATGTTGACTGCCTTCAATAAATATGGATGTGCATGTTCTTTCTATTCGTCCTATTTTGATGTGAAAAGTATAAGTAGTAGTTTTTAACAAAATATAATTAATCTGTACAGGTGAGCCGATGAACCTTAGTCATGCTATGGAGTCGGTAAACGAGTTATATATTTTAACTACTTTGTTTCACATTTGAGTAGATTAATGTATTTTGTTTTTATTTCTTTTTGAGTAGATAAATGTTGGACAGGGCCCAAATGAAAGTGGTAGCAATAAAGGTTCAGAAATGATGGAACAGAATGTTATATACCCAGATGCAATGATTCCGGTTCAAAGTGATTTTCGGCCGTGGTATATAATCTTAGGTGGTATAAGTTTACTTTTCAAGCCATAGTTTTAATATGTAATCATACCTATTTTGTTTTTCAGGTTTTAAAACAATGTTGCTGTTTTGAGGGTGTTGCTGATGTGCATAGTATAATTGCACTAGTAAAATTTTTGACTTGTAAAGTTCTATATGTAATCAATCCCAAGGGGAAAGTTAATTTTTTGAACCCCTATTTACCTTTAAATGGGTGATGTTTTGATGTTTTGTTGGGGTTAATTTGGCTGCATTGCAGGTTTTGTTGAAGTTTTTGTTTTTGTTTGACTAGGTCTGGTGTAGTAAGGATTTAGGTCTATCCTGGATGGGTTTTTTGTTCCTCAATGCTAGTTTTGAGGGGGAATGCCCTTGACTTTCTTGTATTCTAGTCAATTGTTTATATACTGCTTTGTATTGTAATCTGTCTGGAAAGAATTTGCTTAGCTTGTCCCATATTAGATGTATGTTGTTCATTACTTCATTGGAGTATTTGTGTAATCTGTCTAGAAAGAATTTGCTTAGCTTGTCCCATATTAGATGTATGTTGTTCATTACTTCATTGGAGTATTTGTTTTACTTAGTTTGGATTTCCACTGAAAACCAGCAAAAACCGTATTCAAATCTACAGAATTGCTTCAGTAAAATGAAGATGGAATTATGGAAACATATACGGAGTATTTATATTTTAATACAATTAAAAAAACATTTTTAATCTGTAAAATGAAAAATATGACATACTAGTATTTCATTTAGTCAGTTAAACTTTATATCCATTAAAAACTTTAACCATTCGGACGTATGGAGTAGGACACAACAACAAATTCTAAAAATAAGCAAATGACTTTATATATGTAAAGGGAAAAGGTCCCACATGTCTAATCTAAATGAGTACTATAAAACTAAAAATACGGAGGTTTCTAGAGGATAAGCAGGAGTCCACTAGTGGGGTGTACTTTTAATAATTAAAATATTGGGGGTGATGTTCACCCTCTAAATGGAAGGTGAACAAAATCAATCTCGAGGCCGGAGGGTAGCAAATCGCATATTTTTTGGCAGATTTTATGGTACTCATAAGGTTACCATACTTTTGTCCGTATGGACCAATAAGAATGTGGCAGTTGAATTATTTAAATCTAAATTAAAAATGATAGAATGATGTGGACCAGTCAAGTAAATGTTAGGTACGGTACCCCATTTTTTAAATGGATATCGGAGTTGTCACCTTTTTTTTACCCCAAATCTAGTTACGGGTTAACCATCGTTAACATAATTTCAACTGTAACTGTACCATGTAACATTTTTCTTTTGCGGTTGGTTAATCGTACCACGAGTTTTAAAATATATGGTACGGTTAATCGAAAAGTACATCGATTTTTCGGTTATTTTGTTCGATTACGGTATCTTCTTGCCCACCCTTAATTTACAGTCTCTATTCTGATATTCACGGTCATCAGTCAATTACGGAGTATCTCTACAATATTATAAGCATGAATAGAGGTAAGGATATTTTAGGTATGAAAAATGTGTTGGTGGTTACATGTTGTTATGATAGCATGTACCCTACGCAGTCAGACTTATTCTTTTTGAATCGTGCTGTTGGTACCCTTCCGTTACTGTCTTCGATTCACTTCCGTTTGCATCTTACTCCTATTCAATCAGTTTGTTCCCTCTGCATCTCCACGACTCCACCCCTCGGACTCCCAGCTTCTAACTATATATCCAGTTGCATACAAGGTAATTACAAGTCGTCTGTCCTTTTCTTTCGTCAATTTGCTATCTACCTAAGTTATGATTGCCGAAGCTCTCCTTGATTCGCCTACGGACCCCGGGACTTTAGGATTTGTTGGGTGTGTTTAGAAAAACAAAGAAAATTAATTAATAAAAATGAATTAAATAAACTGACTTAAAGAAAAAACAAGAAATGAGATGAAGCGGAATAAGCCAAAGCTCGTACTACGCACGATTTCCTTAAAATGTATTCGTTGTGTGCAGGTCGCCCGTACACGCAAGTCGCGCTTTTTGTTCTTCGGTTTTGGGATTTGATTCGCACCACCCCTGCGCGCATGAGAGAGCCTTTCCCTTTAGGAAGCTTAACTCCTTGGGGGGGTCCCTTTATAAAGGGTTCAAATTCCCTTGTGATTTTCGGTGTGGGAAAAACCCACACTAAAACCCACTTTTTTCTAGTTTTCTCCATTCCAACGGGTAAACTTCAAAAAACGATTTCTCATTCACCCGTTATCCGTTTTGAGCGTACCAAATATCAAATTGTAGCCCTAAGCAAGGAAAATCCGAAACCACTTTTCCCCGACCCAAATCGGAAGTGGACCCCACTCAAAAAATTGCCCCAAAATGACCATTTAATGCAATTTTAACACACTTTTTCCAACAGGATTTATGCCTCAATGAAGAGTATCTTATTTTACGAACCTCCCTATTGTTTTTATCTGATTTCTAAACATCCCAGTAAGTCCATTTCAGCTAAATGCTTCAACACAACATTTACTATGCTGAGTTAGAGTTACATATTTTTGTGTTTCTGATTGTTGGGTAACTTGATTCTATGGGAAGCATATGTAGGAGTTTAATAGTAATGTCAATTTGATAGATTTAGAAACAGGAAAAAGTAAGTTCACGATTTGTATTTTTTATTGTTTGACAACCCTTTTAAAGCTTTATTGAAAGGTAATTGCTAAACAAATATGATGCACATCAAGTGTTTGTGTATTTGTCTCAATGAAAGTGTTTGCATTTTCATTGATGACTAATATTATTGTATCAAAACTCTAAGTAAAGTTTAATTGGGAGACAGTTTTAGAAGCTATGAAAGCAACACGTAATACTTTTAAGTGTTACTTTATTTAAAATTAACTCTTCAATATCTTCCATGTGGTCATAAGTATAATTGGTTTGTGGTATAGGATTTAGGCAGGGTAAATTTCATTCACATCAATAGTGATTGGTTGTCTTTAAATTACTCTCTCTATTCCTTAAAAACTTTGTCATCTTTGAACTTATAGATAAGGATAAAGTTAAACTTTGACCAAGTTATATTTTTATAGGAAATGATTTACAAACTAGAAATTATATAAAATGTTCTCTATTGAAAATATTTTCATAAACGCATGAAATTTATAACTTTCATAAAGTTATTATACTAATCAAAATCATTGATCAAATTTTATATCATTGATTTGAAAAGTAAAAGATGAGAAAGTTTTAAGGGACGAAGGTAGTAGAGAAAAGCTAACATTCAATTTACTAATAGTGGTTTGTGACATCAGTATGCAAACACAAACAATGTTTGACCCTTAAACTGATTTAATGGGATTGAGATGGAACCATATCATATTTCAAGCTGCCTACCTGAACTTTGAGAACTTCCTTCTCTTCTCTACAATATTATACGGAGTAATAGTGAATCCAGTTATCACCCTTTTGGGTATGTATTTTGTTTAGGGGTGGTTCGGTACGGTATACCTTATATTTTTTCTCATACCTTTGCCGTACCAAAACTTTCGGTATGCAAAATTTGCATACCTTTACCTTACCGAAGTTTCGGTATACCGCATTTCGGTATACCGAAGTTTCGGTTCGGTAACGGTACGGTATCGGTAAATTACCGTGCATGTCTCCCAATACAAAAAATTATCATAGACTAACGAAATATACTAAATCGTTATTACTAGTGACATGTTAAATCTATTATTAAAATGTTACGAAATATAATTAATAATCTATTGATGTCAATTCAATATTGAACAATAATTATTATTATTATTAGTATATTTAAGCAGTTCAACATTCCGCATATTAAAAAGTAACACATTCTCCTAAAATAACTTGAACAATATAGATACAATTAAATCAACAGTGATCTCTAACAAAAATAAATAAAACTATTCAAACAACATGGATATAAAATCATTTATTTCTAATATGATATTGTGTATTTAGTCATTTTTATAATTTTTTAAAATTTGAATAAGACTTTCGGATAAAGTTGTGTGTCTCGACTCGCGGAATCCCTATGTAGATACACTTGTCACATAAGTGTATCTCTCTTCACTTGTCAGCTACTTAGCGGCTCAACCATCACGACTTGCAAGATCTTGGAACAAGATGGACTTGTTTCTTGACATTTGCACATTAGTCATTAGTCATTAAGATTAGCGTTGTAGAAGCCTATAAGGTTATAGTGGGTTTGAGAAATTGGGCCTTTACTTTTGTATTTTTGTATTTGTAACCAACTTAAGTACGGAGTATTAATTTTGGACCCTAAAAAAAGTATTAATTTTGGGCTTCAAAATTGTAATGGATTTCTACAGTATACTATCCTCCGTTCTATAATTCTTGCAACAGTTTGACTTTCACGTTTGCCAATGCACAATTTTGATTATAATTATATTTAATTATGTATTAGTAAACATTATAAAAAGTTGATATTTTGGAAATTCACATTGATAAGAGTTCAATAACATTTTATACGTAATAATTTGATTATGTATATTAGTAGAAAATCATGGTCAAAGTATATCTCTGAATAGTGTAAAAATCACAATGTTGCAAGAATTATAGAACGGAGGAAGTATTAGAATTAAAAGTAATTGTTGAGTAGGGAGTCGGTACGGTATTATACCGGTATACCGCGGTATTTGAAAGCATTTACCGTTACCGTATCGAAATAGATCGGTATGGTATGATACCATACCGAAAATGACGGTATACCAATATTTCGGTATTTTCCGGTATTTTTCAGTACGGTAAGTGCGGTATACCGATATTTCGGTATTTTTGCCCACCCCTAATTTTGTTGGTGTAACACTATACCTATATAATGTTGTACATTATGTTAAACGCATTCTACCATTGCAATTTTATTTCTCATCACCCCTTTGTTATTATTGATGTCCAGCCTAAAGAGCTTGACATATCTACTAAAGCATACTACGCTGTTGAGGAGGTCAAAGATGTAAGAACATAAACACTTTTACCTTCTTGTTTTAAAGTTGCCTTATTGTTAAATGTTAAATGGTTGTACAAATATGCAGAATGCAACTCAAAAGAGTCAGAAGGTCTTCTTTGTACACGCCCCTTCAGAAATTGTTGCTCATGAGGTTGAAGAGATTGGTCTGTTCTCTTATCCCAACATCTGTGTTTTTTTTTTTTTACTTTTTTCAGTTCAAATGGGTTTTTGTTGCTCTGCCACTGTGTGATAGCATTAACATTTGCATTGAATTTTCCTATCTTATGTCAACATTTCCACTTCTCTTTCTTATTATGTATAGGGGTCGAGCACTTGCTGAGGGATGTCAAGGGTACCACACTTAGTACTCTTGCAACAGAGGTTCCTTTCTCAACTTATTTCATTCCGCCTATATGGAAAAGAAAAAATTAGTACTCTTATCTCTTGCATATTTTGAGTTGGAAGAAAACCATTTAAGTGAGCTTAATGTTTGTTCCAATTGCTTTTTAGTTAGTAATTAAAGTCCAATCGTTTCCAATTTGCATTTACTAAAGCTTTAGTAAGTTTTGGCTCTCGTCTGAACTTTTGGGGCAAGCCTGGTATTGCTTCGGCAACACGACCCCCACTTTAGCAATTATAGTTTCGAATTTTAGATATTATAATATCTAAACAATATTTATTTCCAATTTCCAGAATCATTAATTAATTGCATAATATGAGTGCATCTCTACTTTTGCCTTTAATGAGGAGGAATGACACATGTTTGCAAGGACGGAGCCAGGATGCGAGGGTGGGGGTGGGATGGGGGAATGCTAATATATCGCTTCTCATGATACTCTAGGTCTCATGATGATATCTTCTTATGCTCTGACTTCTGTGTCCATTTACATACTTCTTTTTTATTTTATCTACTAATATGGTTACTAAATGTTAATCATTTGCCTTTGTATAACATGTATTTATTTTTTGTTTGAAACATGGTTAGTGCGAGGAAGGTCAGTCAAATCAACATAAGGCCAGCTATGTTTTTATAATCTTAAATGACCCATATTATTTGGAACGTAATTTTTTGTTTTGCTTTACTTGTAATAAGACTTCATTTTGTAAGGATGATTGTACTTCGAGAAATGAATGTACACTCTCTTCCTATTTCAAACGATTGCACTTTGAGAAATGAATGTACCCTCTCTTCCTATTTCATACATATTCCATCTTTGTTCCTGCAATATGAAGTTTGATTTGCATAAGAAGTCATACAAAAATGTATTCCACACACGCATATATTGGGCATTTACACAATCGCGCAACGCGCGTGAAAAAAACTAGTTGATTAATAAATGTACATCATGAAAAAATAATTTGACTCCTTATATTTGTTTTGAACAAAATTGGTTTATATTAACATAGTAGAACGAAAGCAGGTTACAATGTGAGAAGTCTTCTGTCTACCGTCCACCCTAGAGTCAGACTTAGAATTAATAATCTCCGAAGTAGTAGCAATATAATTCGTTGATCCCGATTTGGTCTTAACTGAGCCAAAACTTGCAGACCAGACTCATCGTACCCTGTCCCAAGTTCTAGAGTTCTTTTGCTGGAAAAACACAACACAACTAAAACAAAATAAAGATCCAAATAAAAACAAAGCATGAAGAAAACAAAGTAAGCAAAATAAATTTCTTGAACCTAGCCCCTCGTTCAACCCCTGGCGGTGATTCAGGAGGAGTCCGGATCATCGCTATGATTGTTGACGCACCAAATCGGTTTTCCCCCGACTCGGGCGCCTCTTCATCATCATCATCGATAACCAATTCGTCATCGTCCTTTTGTTCGCCGCTGATCTGTGCTTGGAATTCGCCCGTCGCCATAGCCTCGCACCGTCTTCCGATTGCCAAGCGTGACTGCACAAACTCGGCGGAAGTTCAAAACCCTACCAAGAGGGAGAGCCGCAACGTTCGATTGCTTAGACCTTTTTTGATTTATCTTTTTATTAATTTGACTCTTCATTTTAATACACTAAAATAGCATAATAAATTTATTATGATTTACACAGTTTGTTTATAGGTAAGTCTATATACAACCATCAAATTAAATATTACAAATTATGTTATTTAACATATCTAATGCGTGCTCACGGTGCTAAGTCTGACATTTGCTGCCTCCACGGTGCTAGGAGCGTTGCAACGATAGTTTCCCAAGATACGGTGGCTACGTACAACCGTATGAGCACACAATTGATTATTCTGGCGAACTGAAACAAAGCAAGAACAACAAAGAAATTTTCAGAGAGCTGGAAGATAATTTTAGCTAAAAAGTATGTGGTAACTGTGACGTGTGTTTTTGAGAATCGCCCGCCAGCTATATATAGGGATGAATTTGTTGTGTGTTAAGTGACATTTAATGGACCAGAACGTTGGACATAAATGGACAGAATGTTGGGCATTAATATGTCCAAAAACTGTCCATTTAAAACTGCATTAAAAGAGAAGAACGTTGGGCATTAAAGGTTGTAACGGTTCAACAACAGTCTGTTAGTGACCGTTGAACAGCGAGCGGTATTCGTGTCCACAGGTCGCCCGCGCACGCAAGTCGCAGTTTTTCTTCTCCGTTTTCGGGATTGATCGGCCTCCCTCATGTGCATGAAGAGAGTTTTTCCACATAGGAATCTTGACGCCTTCAAAGAGGTTCACCTTTATAACTTATAAGGGGGTGAAAATTCCTTGAGTTTTCTGGTGTGGGATAAATTATATTAGACATTCGTTTCCTAGTTATCTCCATTGCAACGAATGAACTTCGGGAATCAATTTCACATTCACCCTTATCTGTTTTGAGTATACCATATATCGAATCGAAACCCTTGACAAGGGGTATTAGAAATCACTTTGATCCGACTCAAATCGGATGTGGACTCCACTCAAAAAACTGTCCGAAATTGATTATTTAATGCATTTTTTAACACAATTTTCCAACAATATCTACCAAAACTTCCAAAAATAGAAAATGGGTCCTATTATATTTTCCTTTGTCATGTGATGTATTTTTCTACTCATTCGAATTTCCTTAGAAAAAAAAATCAACCTTTTACACATAGTATTGGTCTCTAATATGTGTAGGATGGTCCCAATTCATAATTCATATGGTGTACACTAATAGGAGGAGAGCCTTATTCTCTAATTTAGCTCAACAATTTTAAGGACGAGGCAAGAGAAGATTACTTTTTGTCTTTAGGGATTCCCTCACCTCTTTGTTTGTATGCACCAATAATTATAGTCTTAGTAATATTTATTTAGAGGCTATAATATAATAATGTGTTTGGCATACTTTTAAGTGGGCCTGTGATATTCATCTCCATTAAACTTGCTATTTTCAGCGAGTTGAGCTCAAAGTCACAGTTGGGCTACCTAATCTCTCTTATTAGAACCAAATGGCTTATGAGCCCTTTTTTATTTCATGTTGGGCTCTTAAGGGAATGTTTGGGGTTGCTTAAAAAAGCGCTTTTCAGCTTTTGGCTTAAAAAAGCTGAAAAGAGTGTTTTCAAATGACAGCTTCTGCTTAAATTAATCACTTAAAAGCTAAAAGCTGGAAGCAGGTAGAATGGTGCTTTAAACTGCTTCTCACTTTTTCTATTACACAAAAAGTACTTATTTTACCAAACGCTATCAACTTTTACTTTTTCAGAATCACTTTTTCTCAAACACTACCAACTTTTACTATTAATCACTTTTCCCAAAATCACTTTAAAAAATCACTTTTTTAAAGTTGAAGCAATTGCAAACACTCCCTAAAACACTTGGGTATTACCCTGACCAACAAAAGAGTATTTTTAAAAATTCTTACCTTATAGTTTCCTTGTCTTAGAGAGTGTTTGCAACTGTTTAAAAAAGCATTTTTTGACTTTTGGCTTAAAAAAACACTTATTTACCAAACACTACCAATTTTTATTTTTCTCGGCTTTCGTGTGAAAAGTGTTTTTCCCATTTCTATTACACAAAAAGCACTTATTTTACCAAACACTACTAGCTTTTACTTTTCAAAATCATTTTTTTCTCAAACACTATCAACTTTTATTTAATCACTTTTTCCAAAAAGTGCTTTTTTTAAGCAGAAGCTGCAAACACTCCCTTAAAACATGTGAATTCAAAGCAAGACTTGAATTAGTTACGGAGGGAGTAACAATCGTGTAAAAAATGAGCTCAATGTATCAAGTAATTTAAATAAATAAGGTTATAAACAGTACATCCTAAATTATGCTCAATGTATCAAGTAATTTGAATATATAAACTGTACATCCTAAATTATGCTCAATGTATCACATAATTTAAATAATATAATAATTTAATACGAAATAATTGCCATAATATTACTCCCTAAGTTTCAATTTCTAAAAATATGACCATTTTAATTTTTCCTTAAAATGTGACCCGCATCCGCACTCTTCTTCGTTCTACCTCGCACGAGATCTGTTTCTTCATCCGCATCTCACCTCTTCAACATGGCGTTAGAGATCTCCATCGTCCTCCATCGCCGAACTCACAGCAAGGATCGATCGATCTCCATCGTCCTCCATCACCGAACTCACAGCAAGGATCGATCGATCTCCATCGTCCTCCATCGTCGAACTCACAGAAAGGATCGATCGATCTCCATCGCTCCTCCATCTTCGAACTCACAGTCACAAATCTACGCCTTCAACGGTCTCCATCCGCCTCCCCTTCTCTGCTCGCCAGTCGCCCTGCTCCTGCACTGATTTCTATTCCTTCTGTTTCTGTCCGGTCAATGGGAGGTGGATAAGAGTAGAATCGTCGTCGTCTTCATCCATTGAGCCTTGGATTGAATACCAAATTGCTGGGTAAGGCAGGGGAGGGGGCTGGGTGAGGCAAGGGGTTGGGGTGACACAGGGGAGGGGTTGGGCGAGGTAGGGGCTAAGGTGAGGCAGGGGAGGGGGCTGGGGTGACATAGGGGAGGGGGCAGGGTGAGGCAGGGGCTTGGGTGTGGTGGTTGCGGTCGTTGCCGGAGTTGGTGGCTGCCGAAGGCGGTGGTCGGCGGAGGTAATTGGGCGGTACGGTGCGGCGGCAGTAATTCAGCGGTGATGGCGGGTGTCATTGTGACGGTCACTGTGGCGGTAGCCGAGCAGTCAATATGGTGGGAGTCACTGTGAACAGAGTCACTGTGGGGCGGAGACACTGGCGGCAGGGCGGAGTCACTGTGGCGGCAGGGCAGTCACTGTGGCCGGCGGGGCTGTCACTGTGGCCGGCGGGGTTACTGATGTCATAGTCAATTTGTCCGGAGTCACTTTGCACTGCAGAGGTAATTGTAATGTTGGTCACATTTTTAAAATTTTAAAAAAGAGATCACTTTTTTGTATTTTATCATATTTTTAGTAATATTGGAATAAAAAAGTCATTTAATAGATACTACTCCGTGCTAAAATACATATTTCCCCACAATAATAGTCATTTCGTAATCGTGTGAAAATATAAAAATCATTCTTTCAAAGCCTACAAAATCTCAAAAAGTTGACTGTACTGTTTTACAATAAGGTGTACCATACAATTATTTGGATATGTCCTCCTATGTTTACACAATAAGGAGATGTCACTCTCCTCATTGGCTCATTCTCTCTGTAGAGAATTGTTAATTACTGGTTCAACGAACATAAATATTTCAATCATTACAATTAAATAACGAATTTTACTACCCATTTTACCCTTGCCGGGATGATTACTTGGCACGATCTGTACGTGGTCTTGACGGCGGTGATTCCTATGTATGCGGCGATGATCTTAGCTTACGGCTCCGTCCGGTGGTGGAAAATCTTCACTGCCGACCAGTGCGCCGGCATAAACCGCTTCGTCGCCGTTTTCGCCGTCCCCCTCCTCTCCTTCCACTTCATCTCTGAAAACGACCCTTACTCCATGAACTTCCGTTTCATCGCCGGCGACACCCTGCAAAAACTCGTCGTCCTGCTCGTTCTCTCCGGCTGGGCTGCTTTGACCGGAAACGGCTCCCTCGACTGGAGCATAACGATTTTCTCTCTCTCCTCGCTTCCGAACACTCTGGTTATGGGGATCCCGCTGTTGACCGCCATGTACGGCGGCGAGTACTCCTCGGGAAGCCTGATGGTACAAGTGGTGGTGCTGCAGTGCATTATTTGGTACACTCTGTTGCTGTTCCTGTTCGAGTACCGCGCCGCGAAGGTGCTGATAATGGAGCAGTTCCCGGAAACCGCCGCGTCTATCGTTTCGTTCAAGGTGGAATCCGACGTCGTTTCGCTCGATGTTGGCCTGGATTCCCTGGAGACCGACGCGGAGGTCGGAAGTGACGGAATGCTTCGCGTGAGAGTGAGGAGACGGTCGATCTCTGTGACTACGACTCCCCGTCCGTCGAATCTCACCGGCGTTGAGATTTACAGTTTAGATACATCCAGGAACCCGACCCCGAGAGGATCCGATTTCAACCCTAATGATTTGTACTCGATGATGGGGTTTCCGGGTCGGTTATCCAATTTCGGGCCCGCAGATATTTACTCTGTGCAATCCTCCAGAGGCCCGACTCCCCGGCAGTCGGATTTCGAGGAAAACTGCGCTCCCGCCGGGACTAATGTCATCAATTCATCCTCCATGACCGGGCTTTATACGGGTCGATCCGGCGCCTACCCTGCCCCGAACCCGGAAATTACTTCTTTAGCTCCGAAAAGCTCGAAAAAAGAAGCAGAGCATCAGCTTTTGTCTCAATCGAAATCATTGCCTGTGCAGAGTAAAAACAGCTATGACGCAAAGGAACTTCACATGTTCATCTGGAGTTCGAGTACGTCGCCGGCGTCGGCAGCCGGCGGCGTACACGTTTTTGGCGGGTCTGATTTCGGGGCTGATGAGAGCTCCGGCAGGTCGGATGGCGTCAAGGAAATCAGGATGTTGGTCTCTGATCGTCTTCCTCGAAACTGGGAAACAAAACGTAAGATCGATTACTTTTTTGTATGGGTTGGTGCTGATGAAATACCTTTTTTTGTTGGGCTGATCACGAACAACTCTTTTACTTTTCTTTTCCTGTCCTAAACCAAATCACACTTGGACCAGATTAAATTAAATTAGATTTGAATAATTATAAAATATACCTGAATTAAATATTTATCAGATCAGATTAGATCAATTCAGACTAAATTAGATCAGAATAGAACAGACTAAAAAAAATTCAATCCAATTAAAAACATCGTAAAAAATAAAATTTCTTAAATAAATCCAAATATGCCTCAATATCAAATCATCACTTTCACATTCTTTGCTTCTTTAATATTCTTTCAACATTTTGATATTTGTATATGACACACATTCTACTTTTGATCATATTATAGTACTCCGTAGTAATTATTAATGTATTCATAAAAAGTACTCCTCCTGTCCCTAAAAGTTCTTCCATAGTGCAGATGACACACGGATTAAAAAAATGGATTTTGTGTGGTAGAGAGTCATGCATAGACGAGAGAAATGTGTAAGAATGTGTAAGAATTGCTGTGAACCACAAATTCTTTACCAAAAAAGGAAAGTGAATATCTTTTTTGGGACGGACAAAAAGGAAAAGTTAGAAGTTCTTTTAGGGACGGAGGGAGTATAATATAGAAAGTGTGACAAAATTTATCACAAAGTGAAATTTTAAAATGAATTTTTATAATATTCACCAATAGCCCAACTAAATACATAATAATAGCTAATTGTGTGATGACTGATGAGATATAGATGTGTGAAATTTGAAGTATTGCAACAAGGGTGAATGTAGTGTGTCCATATCGTTATATGTTTAGTGTATGCTATAGGAGATTTTTGATACACCAGTGATGTTTATACAAGTTTACTATAACTGCTTTTAAGGTAAATATCTTCCAAAATAACAAGGTGATAATGAATTTTATACAACTCGAAAAAGAGGTAAGGGTCAGATTGGTACTCGAAGTTGCATAAAAAGGGTCGAATAAGTCCTCATATAGGAGGCTCTGTCCGGCCATCGCCATTTGGGGCGGTTCCCGGTGGAATTTTTTGACTGAAATTTTTTTGAGCATCTTATTCATCAAGTCTAGTTTACTCATACCAAATTGGAATAACTGACAAGAATAATCCCAACTATTAGTGATCTGCTTGAAATAATCCAAAGTATCAATTATCTCAAAATAATCCCAACTATTGAAAAATCTTCTCAAAATACTACACTTACTTATAAATTTTATCAGTTATTTACAGATAATTATAAGTCACCGGAGTATTTTGAGAAGATTTTTTAAAAGTTGGGATTATTTTGAGATAATTGATACTTTGGATTATTTCAAGCGAATCACTAATAGTTGGGATTATTCTTGTCCATTTTTCCTACCAAATTTCAGCTAAAAATTCAACCGGGAAGGCATTCAAATGAATTCTTGAAGATTACTGCGCAGTTATCTTCAAGAATTCATTTGAATGCCTTCCCGGTTATAATTTTAGCTTAAATTTGGTATGAGTAAAGTAGACTTAATGAATAAGATGCTCAAAAAATTTCATCAAAAACTTCCACTGGGAACCGCCTCAAATAGCGACGGCCGGACGGTAAGGACTTATTTGACCTTTTTATGCAACTTCGCGTACCAATCCGACCCTTACCTCACTCGAAAAGTAATGCGGAGTATGTGACAGTTCAAGCAATATATAGGGAGAGTTTTTTGACAAGTTTTTCTGAATCCCTTTTTACATGCTCTCTCCGGTCATAAATAAACTTCACACTTTCTTTTTCATGTAGGTCCAAAATGAACTTCACACTTTTATTTTTGACAAATTTTTTAATATAAAGTTACCCTTATACCCTTACTTTATTATCTACTTTATATCCATTTTCTCTTTCTCACTGCACTTTATCTGCTTTTTGTAAGGATATGGTTGGAAAGTCAAAACAATAAATTTCACTTTCCTAAAAACTGAAAAGTCAAACCATGAAGATTATTTAGGACCGGAGGGAGTATTGTTTTGAAAACAATCCTTAAATAACACTAAAATATGACTCATTCACTCTTAATCGGAGATTTTTATACTTTTATTAAGATCATATAAGTCCTATTTTAAAAATAAAAATAGCTATTCATTTTTGTGCATTTTGTGTAAATTTTAGTCGTACTTGAAGTATTTTCTTTTTTCTTACATTTTACATAATGCATGTAATGTGCTAAAATTTTATAGTTAAGATTAATTCATAAATAAAACATTAATCCCATACGGGACACAAATAGACATGATAAGCGTACTTGGGAAAAGTCCAAAATCAAAAGTGGGGAGGCAAATGGAGTGTTGACGAATTGTGCTCAAGTATACAAAAAATTGGAATGTTATATACAGAGTATATGATTACAAAAATAGGGTTTATATATAGATGTTGCTAAAAGTGTGTAGGGCACTTTCATAATATAAGTAACTAATTTATCTATTCTATTTGTTTGACATATTTTCCTAGTTTATCCATTAATATATAGTAATAGCTAAAATTGTGTGATGAGTGATGGATAGTCTACCCGGGGGTATCTTATCCGAAGGGTTATTACGGAAATAACTTAGAGAGAAGTCAGAGCAAATAGGAGGAGAGAGAGTCGATTTTATTAAATGAACTCAGCGTGGAGTTGAGATGTAGATTGTGTTTTACAAGGAGAAATAGGCTGCTATTTATAGCAGCAATAAATGCGATGAGAGGACACGTGTCAGTAATCCAACGGCCGAAGGGTCACATCAGCCTAGTGGCACGGGCAGTGGTACGTCAACCGCATTGATTGCGGTTGGTGGACGTAACGTGGCATTAAATGCGGTGGTTGGCTGTCTCTAAAAGGAATCTTCGATGATTGAGCTTGTTCAGCCGAAGGCTCCTTGTGTAGCCGAGGGATCCTCGTGTAGACCGAGGGATCCTCGTGTAGCCGAGGGATCCTCGTGTAGCCGAGGGCTCCTCGACTAGCCGAGGGCATGAGAATGCCGAAGGCTCGTGTCTTCGCCCGTTTTCTCCCAGCAGCTTCCTATGCCAGAAAGGCTATCCTGTGAGTTCTGGAGCCTTCGGCCAAGGAGGCCGAAGGCACCCCAGTGTGTATTCTGAGCTACTTTGAGGCTTGGGCCGTTGTATTTGGGCCTGAGTTGTTTCTTGGGCTCAATGGACTTGTGTAGGAGAAGTAGGAGTCTATGGGCCGGGGGCTCCTGGGCCATATACTCCATCAATGAGATATAGATGTGTTAAATTTGAAGTACGTATTGCAACAAGGGTGAATGTAGTGTGTCCATATCGTTATATGTTTAGTGTATACTATAAGAGATTTTTTACACACTAGTGATGTTTAGACAAGTGTACAGTGTACTATAACAAGGTGATAATGAATTTGATACAACTCGAAAAGTAATACGTGACAGTTAAAGCGATATTTAGGGAGAGTATACGACACCTTTCGATTTATTCTTTCTAAATCCCTTTTTACATATTTTTCTGAAAAAAATCCTTAAATTAGATTAAAATATGACGCATTCACTCTTAATTGGAAACTTTTATATTTTTATTAAGATCAAATAAGTCATATTTTAAAAATAATAATAGATATTCATGTTTGTGCATTTTGTGTAAATTTTAGTCGTGCTTGGAGTATTTTCTTTTTTTCTTACATTTTACCTCATGCGTGTAATGTAATAAAACTTTATACTATGTAGTTAAGATTTATTCATAAATAAAACATTGATCACACACGGGATACAAATAGACATGATAAGCGTACTTCGGAAAAGTCCAAAAACAAAATGTGGGGAGGCAAATGGAGTGTTGACGAATCGTGTTGAAGTGCACAAAAAAATTGGGATGTTATATACGGATTCGGAACCTCTGCCTTGCTTTGCCGCAAGGTAGGGTGTCCGGCTTTCTTAGGTCGTCCGATCAACAAATCAACGGTCGAAGATCTTGGAACTCCGCATCTCGAGACGCCTGCTTTCTCTTCCTTCCGTCGGATGCCGCAAGGCACCTCTGCCGCACGGCAGAGGATCTGAATCCGTTATATACAGAGTGTGTATGATTACAAAAAAATGGAATGATATATACAGTATATGATTACAAAAATAGGGTTTTTTATATAGATGTTGGTAAAAGTGTGTAGGGAACTTTCATAAAATAAGTAACTATTTTATCTACGGAGTATTCTATTTGAGTATTTGTTGACATATTTTTCTAGTTTATCCGTAATTTGAATCTACTAGACATTCTCATTACCTTTGACCCATCACTTTGAATTGACTACTAGTACGTACTTACATAGATTAACATTATCGTAATAATAGTCGACGTACTTTCCTACTAAATTAAAGGTCAATTAAGTTTTTCTATTTCCAGTTGATGAATAGATTAAATTCTTAATCACAAACAAATCAATCAGAATCATCAAACAGACGAGAAAAGTCTGAGTACTGGTATGTAATGCTTCGAACCATTACTATGTTCTAGAAAAGGTAAATATCAACGTGCTCCATATACCTTCGAAATGAAAGTGTCACCCTAAACACAGTTTCAAACAGTTGACTAACATAAAATGAAATGAAAATAATGAAATCTTGACTCTTAATACAATTAGAAGTGATTGATTCCTATTCAAAGAATCAAAGTACAAAACAATGGGCTTTCAAAAAAAGTACAAAACAATGACTATTTTATTTTTGCACTATATATATGTCTACATAGAGTAAAAAGTAATCCTGTCAAGTTGGCCTAACAAGATCATATGCCGTCTGACCGCCTTCTTTTGACGTGGCTTACGGTGAAATTTTTAACTGAAATTTTGTAAGCATGTTTAAAATTTTAGCTAACATTTGAATTGAGAAGTCAGTCAACTGTGGAATTGAAAAATATTGCACTGCTTATATATATATATATATATATATATATATATATATATAGGGATGGGTTCTAGTGAGAACATCCCTTATTGTGAGAGCGTGAGAACAAATCCTGGCTTTTGATCTGGAGAAACAGACGGTTCATTAATCTGTAGGTGCATATCAAAAATCATGCACCGTGTCACACACATATGCATCAGGCATACTAATTTAAGATACGTGGCATGATTAAAGGGTAAAAAAGTCAAAATATGGAGGTTATCACTTACGTAACATTAGGAAGGATTAAAGGTCTATTCATTTAAAATGGTTTAATTTAAAAACTGATTTAACTTTGTAAATAATAATATGATTTTAACAAAAATCATATCAAATTTTATAATTTTTTTTTTATCTTTCATATGACACCAATATGTCATATATAATTTTGTTTCAAAAAAATAAGTATAATATCTATACAATAAATCACAAGAAACATCTTTAGCTATCGCATGCACACCAATATGTGTCTAACACACAACAACTAATATCTAACGCACAACAACCAATATATAACACACAATATGTATAAGAAAAACTAAAACAAGTATCTTAAGCACAAAATTCAATATCTAATGCACAAAGAACATTATCTGACACATATTAGTATACACACATATTAGTATATGCACAAAGAGCAGTATCTAATGCACAACAATTAAAAACTAATTAGTATCTAATGTATAAAGAATTCACACTAATTAAAATAGTATATAACACACAAGAATCAATATCTTATGCACAATACAAATATACACTCGAGAACTAGTACCAAACGTATAGTATATATACAATCACAGCAAGTATTTACCGCACAAGAATCAGTATTTCACAAACAACAACCTATATTTACAGCACATGAACCGACCATCTTACTATCAGCTATGATAAAACACACTACAATTGGTATTTGATGCAAATTAAATGAATAGAAAATAAATTATAATTTAATGGAGAAATTTAATATAAAAAAAGAATATTTTGTTTCTAAGCATGGACAACTAAATTCACGTAAGGAATGAAATTAAAAATTAATATAATATTACATTCCTAGAAATGTGGAAAGTGGATCATATATGGAATGCATTAACTACCTTTAGTCGGTTACCAAAACTGCTTAGGACTAAAATACGTAAATAGCCTTCACGTAATTTAAGTTGAGCGCAGATCAAGTCTTCTAAATCGATGGTTGTGATTTGTTCTCACGTTCTCACATTAAGACTCGTTCTCATTTGAACCAAAATCTCTCTCTCTCTCTCTCTCTCTCTCTCTCTCTATATATATATATATATATATATATATATATATATATATATATATAGAATTTGGTTCAAATAAAAAGCACTTCCTAGGTGAAAAGTAAGAACTAATCTTGGCCATTGATGTGATAAAATGGGTGGAAGAGATCAATTTTTAAGTTGGAAACGCGGTGGCGTTTTTGTAATTATGCAGAACTTTTTTTGAAAATATTGTGACAAATGTGCATCAGAATAGTCAAAAAGTGCACACGTAGAGCACAAAAGTGCAATATGGTACAAAATAAAAAGTGCACAAGATGGAAAATTTTGATAATCTTTTTTGACTCGAATGAGTACACTTTTAATCAGTAACTATCCACTTTATAGTATAAACGTTTGCACAATTTTTGAAATCATCTCTTGTGTTTAAAGTTCATCTAATCCATCAATTTTCAAGTGATGGAAGGCCAAGGTTTATTCTCACTTTTCATGGGAAGACTACTTTTTACTTGAACTCATTCCTATATATATATAGTGCAGTGTTTTTAAATAATTTATTTAACTGTCTAATTTCAAGCTTCAATTTGGTGGACATCAATTAGGTACACTTCACGAATAACATGTTCAAAAAAAATTGTCAACAATTTCACGGGAAAGGATCCAAATGACTTTGGCCGGACGGTGGATCTTGTCAAGCCCTGACACGATCATTTCTCTATCTATGTGTATTTTAATTATATTTAATGAATTTTTAGTAGATACGTAACGTATTTGACTCTTCTATGCATGCGATGTTCTTTCTTTAATTCAAATGTTTCTTTCTTGTCTTTTTGACTTTGCATTATTGAAGCCATAATTCATAGTGACGACGGCTTTGACATGGAAGGCTGCAGCTTCTACCCCTTAGGTGAGGCAAAAGAAGGGCACGAGGAGAAATCTGAAAAGGAAGTACAACTCCCCACCAAAATGGGGTCCGCCTCCCCTGCTCAACCGCCAGACTCCGGCGGCAGAAAACCGATGCCGCCGGCGAGCGTCATGACGCGGCTGATATTAATCATGGTTTGGCGAAAGCTGATCCGGAACCCTAACACATACTCCAGCCTCATTGGTCTGATTTGGTCCCTTATTTCGTACCGGTAAGATAAAAATTCTTTTTGTCCCACTTTTTTCTAACATGGCTTTGACTTTTTTCCCAATAATCTCTTTTTTTTATGGTTCTCTCCCAATCTATTTGATTGATATATAAATTGATGGTATATTTGCATGGACCATGATTTTTTAAGGCTTTTTCTCAATCTGTTTGATTGATAAATTGATTGTATGTATATTTGCATGGACCATAATTTTTTTAATGGCTTTTCCCCAATCTATTTGATTGATACATTGATTGTATATTTGCATGGACCATAATTTGCAGGTGGCATGTCCACATGCCCAAAATCATAGACAAGTCCATATCCATCCTTTCTGATGCTGGCCTTGGTATGGCCATGTTTAGCTTAGGTGAGTACTCCAATTTAATTAGTTCATTACTTTAGTCCCAATTTAGTAATCTATTTATATAAATTTGTTTTAAAAACTGAATGCTGTGTTTTAAAACACACTACTAAAATACTTCATTCGTCTCAAAATGATTTTTTAAGTAAAATTTTATTAATCGTCATAGTCATTTGTTTTGATAAACCTTTTGTAATGATATTATAATTAATAAATTAAAAAGTGAAACTGCGTGTAATCAAATGTAAAGATAAACCCCTATGTAATGATATTATAATTAATAATTAATATTACTAATTAAGCTCGATCGCCTAAATAAAAAACAGTGTTATGATCCAAATAGAAATGTCGAAATAGACTTTGAATAAATAAATTGATTAGTGAGACATGGTATCAGATAATTAAATAATGTTAAGAACGTAAATAGATTTATGAACATAGAGAATATATTGTATCCATATAAAATGAACTATTGAAGACTTAATATTTTATTTCAGCTAATATGATATAACAAGTAAGTATAATTATGGTATTGTACATTATTGCATCTACCACGTCGATTGCTAAGAGCAACTTTAATGATGCTGTGGATCGGTAGAAATGGAAGGCCACGTATACTAAATCGATAGTGGGATACAAATATCCTCTCCAATGGTACTGTTTATTTTTTTAGTTGTGCTGATGTGGAAGTGCAAATGGTAGAAAGTGTCTCACGGTCTGTCTCAGTTCAGCAAGCCCATCAAACATGCTGACTCAGCAAAAATTAATGTTTTAACGAAACTTTTTGGCGGTAATACAAGGCGGTAATCGAAAACCATCCACCAAAACAAAAAATCCACCGCTGAAAAAAGGCAAAGGTATTCTCATCTTATAAGAACGAAGCACAGGAGGCCAAGTCGAAGCTAGGTTTTCTCCGCTGGTTTTTTCAGAACACGAAGCATCCAGGTTTTTTTACTCACTCTTTAATCTGATTATCAACCATGACATAGTGCAATTTGATGATTAAACGCATGTGAACAAAGAATCACAAGTAAATTCAATTACATTACATCTTAAGAGATCTATGCTTCGTTCCTCTTTTTAACATACGTAATTTCAATTATAATTTCATTTTTACATCTACCTAGTTTAATTTTTACATCTATGATTCGTTCCTGATTTTTTCATCTGCTTTTCGTAGTAGATGCTTTTATGCTAAACACATGCTTTTTAATCACTGATTCTTTGTTCCTGCTCCAATTGAAGTAATCATAGTATTATTTGAGATTTTTCTTTTAATGGTTAGGTATCATTAATAATTCTTACATTTGCACTTTATATGTTGTATGGTTCAAGTCTCTTTACTTTTGTTGACAAAAGCTCTCATTATTTAAGAAATGCTCTCTGGAGCTTTGCTTCTCGGAAAGACATGAGTTATGCTAGTTTGTTATCCAGCCTAGTTAGTATTTGAACTTTGCTTCTAGGTTCTGTTTGAATATGCATTATGTATTCATTACATTACCATTTTTTCAGTTTTACGCTTGAAACAGATGGGCTATTATATGCAACCTGATACATATATAGTCATCGCATTAAATTCTCCAAGTTTTGCAGATCACATGAATAACTTGTAAAAATGATGCAATAGGCGGTCTGCATCACTAAACAAGCAATGAAGTGGGTCTTGAAAACTCCACAGAAGTTCCAAAATAAAAAATTTGTTTGATTATGCATTGTGTATCAATTACATTACTGTTTTTCAGTTTTACTCTTGAAATAGGTGGGCTATTTATTTTAATGAAATATTGATTTTCTACATAGATGGAGCCGACATCACATCCCTCCTTTGTGGACCATGAACATCTCCAGAAAGATAGTGAAGTAACTGATCTTACTTCTCTTTACGGTAGTGCTTCACAAATCAACTCACAGTCATCCATGCCTGCATTGAACCAATACGGTCTAGCAAACATGCCTTTTAGTCCTAACTTTATGATGAATCCATCGTTTGCTCCTCGTGCTCACTCACCTTTGGGATATGGGTTCTCTTTTCAAGACCTTTTACACTCCCCTAATATTCCATTCGAGAGTCCTGTTACTAAAACAAGCAGAGAACCAGATAAAAGTAACAAGAGCAAACAAAATGCGCGTATCTCTAATACAGGCGGAGGCTCCAAAAATTGGAGCAAAGACGAAGATGTAGCACTAACACAGGCGTGGCTATACATTTCCGTTGATGCCGATGTTGGTAACAATCAAAAAGTTGCTAATATGTGGAACCGTATATCCCAAATTTGGAGGGAGAAAATGGGAACTTATGACGAGTCGCGCACGACAAATAGCTTACAATGTCGTTGGAACAAGATCGTAGCCGCAGTTAACAAATTTCATGCTTTATATGAACGACTACAAAGGCAACCAAAAAGTGGAGCAAGCCAAGAAGATATGGTAAACAATACTTTATAACTATTTGAGTTGTTAAATTGTATTCTTATTTCAATTGAAATATTACTATCTGCCTTGATTTTATAGTGTGTTGTTTGAGTGTGTGCAAGAATTGACTTTTTATTTGCAGAGGCGAGAGGCAATGCGCATGTACGAGGATATTAATGAAGGTCAATCTTTCAAACATGAGCATTGTTGGGAGATCATGAAAACAAATTCAAAGTGGTGCACGAAGGAGGTTAATAGGACCAAAGATTTGTCCAAGCAAAAAACTGCCAATGCTAGTGGTCATACCCAAGAATCAATTCCACCAATGAACTCAGGTAATGAAGACCAAAACTGTATCGATCTTGATGTTACTAGTGATGGTAAGCGCAGTGATATTGAGCGTCCTCAAGGACGAAAAGCTACAAAAGAAAAAAAAAGGAGGCTGAATGATGAAAAAAATGTCGTTGACGCTTTGAATAAGATACACACTGTCTTGGATAAACAAGTTTCTGTTAATGAGGAAGAGGTCAAGATGAAGAAGGAGAAAGACTTAAAGGACTTTGAATTGCGAGAAAAGGTAATGCAAAAAGAGTTGGAATTTAAGGAAAGAGCTGAAAAGAGAAAGGAACTGCAGTATATTTTGAACCAAGATGTCAACAAACTTCCCTTTAGCATGAGAGAGAGATTTGAGATGTACCAATCTCAAATTTTTAAGGAATGGGAAAACAATGGACGATTTGGTAATTATAGACTTTCCTACCATTTGTGTTACTTACTTTTAAGTATACTAGTTATAAACAATAATCAATTTAAAAACTCATTACTTTTATAATGTGTGACAGGTGTGAATAACAGTTAATGAAGTTCAGCTGTTGATGAAGACAAGTATTATAATTTAGTTGAATACTGTGAAGGCTATTGATTTATTGTTTATGGTTTTTTGTTTCATTTTCTATTCTTGAACGTCCTTTTATTTTTTAGAAGTACTTTTGTTTATGGAATATTAGAGAAAAGATCCAGTTTCTGTTAAGTCTCATGCAGCCTTTTGAAAAGATTGTTGCTTTCTTTTAAAGTCCATTACTCTGCTTTCTATTAAAATTGATTACGGCTTTTCTCATGAGATACTAGTGAATGACTGAATGATAGTTGAACTAGAAAACTGCATTTTTGTGGCATCACTAGTTCTTGAACAAGATATATATCTTGAATGTTGAGGGGTTACTAATCCCAATGTTAGAAGCATGACTCTCGTTTGCCCTACTTTTATTGTACACAAGGAAATTTTTGTCATATGAGAAGGATTATTTTTGTCATATGGGTACAATAAAGGGCCTGAGGCGCCATATTAAAAGTCATGGCTTTTTATATAATAAAAAAAAATAATGAATGAATGCTTAATGTGAACATAGGAAAAGTAAACTACAAAAAAAAAAGTAGAGAAAAATCTTCCTAACCTTTTCCAGGATTGTATTATTCCTACAATGGTTCCTACCCATTTCCATCGAATTGTGTTGCAGATAGCAATAAGGGGACAATCAAAGTTGTAGTTGCATATAAACCTCAATTTCTTTGAAAAAATCTTTTTGAATAAAATTGTGTCTTTTTTTATTCTATTTCAATTTCTGGGGAAAAAGCTCACTGATATGGGAACAACGACCTTGCTATCACTGTGGTATTAAAAGTGAGTTTGAAAATATCAATTTTTTTTAATATTTGAAATGATTTAATTGATAATACTCCGTATTTCCATTGTGTGCTTCTGAGATGTTGGTCATGCATCTTTCTGAAATGGGGTTGAAAAAGCTATTCGGTACTTTCATGCTGTTATAGCCGTACTTTCTTGCTATTAGGTACTTTTCTGCTGCTATATGTACTGGGATAAAACTTGTGCAGGATTGGAGCTCAGGTCTTGTTTGATCTGTAAAGCATTTAACTCTATTGATATGTGAAAAAAATGAATGAAAATGTGGGATAACATAAACATGATCATATATTATCACACACAGACGTATGCAGTATTAAAAGTAATATCTATGACTGTAGGAAACATTTAGATAGAAGTTTAGAAATTAAAACTATTTCAACAGCAAAATGTACGAGAAAAGATACATACTTTTCTTTCAATAAAACTAACTTGTTGCACTGGCATCATCTTCCAGGCCACTGTCTGGCCACTGACTGGCCACTTCAAGTAGCATGCATTAACTCAAATAAGTTCTCATCTTGCCTCTGTATTAATTTTATTTAGAATACTTATGTATGAAATAATAGAAGTGTTCATAGGATAAATTTTCTTGATTTAAAGAATGATATGTACCATATTTCTTCAAAATACTATATACGTACACAACAAATTCAAAACTACATAATTCTATCAAAAAACAAACACAAATCTGAGAACAATAATAATTAAGAGCATAACATCATACTACAGAAACAACATTAAACACTAATGAGTATTATGAGTCTTTCTTATTAAAAGATATAATATAATATCAACTTGTTTGCTGACCACCATATAACTCCCATATATGATTGATGAGATCACTTTTTAAATCCCTATGAACTCTTTTATCTCGCACTTGTTTCATTCTTCCAATCATTCTAGAGACAATAAAATTATAATCACGTTCTAATTCCACGTTTTCAACTCTTTCGTCTCCAAGAGGTTGCCAATTTTCAGGATCCATTCCTTGGCTACTTTCACTCTCAATGATCATATTATGCAAGATGATACAAGTCTTCATTATCTTCCCCAAATCTTTTTCATTCCACATGCGTGCGGGGCCTTTTACAATATGCCATCTACTTTGAAGAACCCCAAAAGCACGCTCCACATCCTTCCTTATAGATTCTTGGCGTTGAGAAAATATTTTCTCTTTAAGAGAAGAAGGCTGAGAGATAGACTGCATTAATGTAGCATATTGTGGATAAATTCCATCAGTCAGATAATACCCCATGTCGTAATGATGACCTTGCACTACATAGCTACATGGTGGTGAAATGCCATTAATAATATCATCAAATAGTGGAGATCTATCTAATACTGTTATGTCATTATTAGTACCAGCCATCCCAAAAAATGCATGCCAAATCCACAAATTTCTTGAAGCAACAATCTCTAATATGAGAGTTGGAACTCGTTTAAAACCATTTGTATGTGTACCATGCCAAGCGGTTGGACAATTCTTCCAATGCCAATGCATACAATCAAGACTCCCTAACATACCAGGAAAACCTCGCCCTTCTGCTTCTTGAAGAAGGCCCAAAATATCTTTTTCGTTTGGTTTTCTCAAATACTCTTGTTCAAAAACACTTATCACTGCATCACAAAAATGTTTAAGGCTTTGAATTGCAGTGCTCTCCCCAATTTGAACATATTCATCCAAAAGATCAGCTGGACAACCATATGCAAGCATCCGGACCGCAGCTATGGTTTTTTGTAAAGGACTTAATCCTTCTTTTCCGGTGGCATCAAACTTTAAAGAGAAGTAACTATCATTTTTCTCTATTGCTTCCAATATGCGAGTAAACAGTTTCACATCCATTCGAAATCTTCTACGAAAATGATCTGGGGTATACTTTGATTGATCACCATTGAAATAGTCTTTCATAATTACCTCATGACGTTCCTTTCTATCGCGCTGAATGTAACGCCTGCGACATCTTATGCCCCCATTAGCATGCTTCTTGCCTCTTAACATTGTTGAAACTGTTATAGAAACATGGACGGCAGTGGTATGAATCAAATCACGACTCATTTTTGAACTACTATCATCTTCTTTTGACAGTTCACCATACAATTTATTTGTCAAGGAGAACGCATCACAGTCAGATGATGAGCTATCACTATCAAGTTGGGACTCTAAAGAAGACATTACTATCACCTGCAAGTTAAGAAAAAGTGTAAGATTGAAAATAATCTCTCATTATTATACTATATATGTTGCTTCAGATTGAAAATATTTTAATCTCTCATGAACAAAATTTTCTGAAACACTTAAAATGCATAACATATTCAAACATAAACTTGTTTAAGTGAGCATCTAATTTTAAACGTGCCTTATAATTTATTCGTATATGACAAATACTATAAATGCACTAACACCTTAATCATTTATTTGCTAAATAAAGGCTTCAGCGGCACTACGTACACACACATATATACTACGTGTGTGTATATATATATTCTAGGTTTCAGAAACCGCTACTCATCATCACACAACAATGAATTGGGGATGTATATGAAACATTATATTAAAGCGCAATAGCAAAATAAGATGAAAAAAATTCAAACTTACCTGCGGCTGATTAAAGCGCAATAGCAAGTTGGAGCTGACCTGCGGTTCTTTTTTCAGATCGCCTCTTTGGAAAAAGAAGACGGCTGATTTCAGTTGAATGATGTGGCATATGAATAGGAAAGACTTTAAAAAATCCACTACACCGTTGGGGCCTAAAAATAATATTAAAAGTCTGTGTGTCCACCTCAACGTCATGGGCTGTCCATATATGTGACATGTCCACTTTTAATGGGGTGCAATCCACATTCCCATTAAAGATGCTCTAAGTATATGGATGTTCATTTTTCTGACCAGCGGGCTAACTACTAAAAATAATATATATTCCGTTATTTAAGAGGGTAACTAGTGGTAAAACATATAAAGATCGAGCATATCCATGTTGCTTTGATGAATAATATACATTGTTTTATTTTTGAGGATATACTATCTAGCTATATAGAGGTATGAAATATATGATGCTCACCATTTTTTAACGCTAACGTGTGTGCTCTACAATAAGCATGTTAGCTTGAATAGCATATTATGAATTTATCTCTTTATCATGGCCTCAGCCCTCATGGCCAGTCATGGGCATATGAGCACAAAAGTAAGAATAAACCTCTTATTAAAAAATAAAAATAAAATAAAAAACAAAAACAAAAAAGCAACCTACTCTAAGAATCTAAAAACTCATACGGAGTATATCTTAGCGGAAATGAATTAATTAATTATTAACAACTATGGTATGTTATGTACTCCAAAATAAAAATGGTTTTAATCGATTGAAATTTTCTACAATATAATGAAGTGATCTGATCTGATCCAATTTAATATACTACTACCTCCCTCCCATTTGATATGTCTCCTTTGGTTTGGGCACAATCTTTAATAAAGTGGTTGAAAAGATAAAAGTTGTGGTTGAGGTTTGAGTATAGTAAAGTAATATGTTGTGAATCACATATTTATTTCCAAAAAGGAAAACATGACACTTATTTTGGGACTACCCAAAAAGGAAAGTAAGACAGGTAAAATAGGACGGAGGGAGTACGTATTTAAGTTTAGGTTTGTCTAGTTTGATCGATCTTGTGTCATAGATGTCTGTTATGATTTTACAACTGTTGAAGTCTAGTTTAAACTGGTCTGAACTAGTTCAATCTGATTTGCTTGAACTAGTCCAATCTAATCTGATATCATCTGTTTAAGTCTATGCTTATTTGGTTTGGTTTGGTTTGAGATTGGAACCATCCTAACTAAAAAAGGATGGAATTACCCGCATAGGTAGCTCCACTAGTAAAGCGGTTAGAAAGTTGGAGAATGATCAAGTATCGAAACTCGCACTAACCGTGTGGGGGTCACAGCTCTTACGAATTTACTAACTTTGGTTTGCATCCAAAGTTGGTTTGCATCCTCCACAGGGGTGGCCCTAGGGGGGGTGCAACAAGGGCGAGCGCCCTAGGCCTAAAAAAAGTGTAAAAAATTTAGGCCCAATCTTAAGGCATTGTATTAAGAGTAAGTAGGTTGAGTTTTTAGGGTATATATCCACTAACTTCATGTGGCATAGGGAAAAGATAGGACTCTCTGCTGGGTTGGTGCCTATCACTGATTCGTCATTTAGGACCTCACTGCTTCAAAGTTCAAACTTCAATATTCCAATTCTTCAATATAAATTTCCATCCGTCAATACTCAATAGACCATAGATAATTAATACATCTTCTTGACATAAGATCCTTTTATCCTTCCTAATCCCAACATAAGATTATATGTACCGGTGACACCAAATTTTATGTTTGCCAGGATAAGGATGTTTTTACTTGGACTGTAATTTGCTGGTCTGGTCTGGTCTAGTCTGAACTGGTCTGGTCTGGTCTGGGAAGGTCTGGTTTCTTTGTATTTTTATAACTATCCAAGTCTGGTCTGGTCTGGTCTGAACTGGTCTGGTCTGGTCTGGTCTGGTCTGGGGCAAATTACAGTCCAAGTAAAAACATCCTAACAATCCCGAATGCGTACCAACAGTTGAAAATCTCAGCTTTTAGGAATTATTACTTCATCGATTAGAGTGCTTTCGTCTTTTTCCAAGCTTTATATTCAATCATGTCAAAATTCATTTCCTGAAAAAACGCACGGCCAATTGAACATAGATGTATTGTATACATACTTAGCTATATCTGATAGACAATTTGTTTGACACAGATAATTCGAATTCACAGACAATTTATCTACCGAGGACAAACAAGTGTACAAAAAAAGTGTACACATTTTATGGACACTATGGACACTATGCATTTTTCATCAAACATATCTTGTACTCTGTAGTCTCTTAAATTAGGTCAGATTTACTTCGAAAATGTAGAGTTCCACCGATAATATTGGTATGGATTGAACTCGTTAAATGTATGGATATCAATTTTCCCAATGGAAACTTATGGGATGTATTCATGTATTTATAAATATTAAAATTTATGAATTGTATTTACAAATATTACAAATGATAAAAAATTTATTGAAAATGTGTACATTTATTATCTCATGTTCATTTATGACATTGAAGCATTTTATATATACATATAGAGCCCGTTTGGAAATCTTGTTTTTCGGCTTATTAGGCTTATCAGCAAACTTTTTCACCAAACACGTAATTTTTTATTTTGCGCGATGTGCAATGTATTAATAAGAAAAAAATAATATTATGGTTACTTTTCTGGCTATATTGGTTGAAGTTACAGTAGACGATCATTTTAGCTATTTTTCATATACTTTTTTCTTTATCTTTTTGATAAAAAATACTCCGTATTTTAATTAGGAAAAATGTACAAGAATAATCCACCTGGTTTTCTCATAATAATCTCACCTTTACGTAATCCTAGAATAATCCCACCTTTGCATCCTATCTTTGAAAATCATATAAATAATATCACCTTTCACATTTTTTTATATCTTTATAAAGGTGAGATTATTTATATACGATTTTCAAAAGAAGATGTAAAAAATCTGGTATAGTAGGTCATCAACAGGTCAGAGTCCAATGAAAGAAGATGAGGTGCAAAGGTGGAATTATTATGGGAATATGTAAAGATGAGATTATTATGAGATGACCAGTGAAAGGTGGGATTATTCTTGTCAATTTTTCCTTTTAATTATAATTTTTTCATAAATCAGCATAATCAGCCAATCCAGCCACTTCAACCAAAACTTCAGAAATTTCAGCTGAATCATAATCAATACGACAGTGTTACGAATGAGAAACAAGTCAAACTATCACTAAGTTATTAATGCAAGTTCTCAAAATTCTTGTAATACGTATAAAAGATTCTCAATGATGATTGAAAACAATACTTTAATAAATAAAAACTAAGAGTTCCAATAAATATTTTTAAGATTTTTATTATTTAATTTTTAGTTGTTTTCATTAAAGAAAAATGATGTGAATCCGTCAGGGTACGTGTATTGTAAATTTTAAAATAATTATCAAAAAGTATAATAAATTGCATAAGTAGCCCATGAACGTACGATATGACTATCCTAGAGTATCTGATACGAAAAGTTTCTGATGCGTTAATACTATATCCTAATCAAGTATCTGTGCTATATAGGTTCTGACTAAATCTGCTGAATTATCACAATATTATAAGATAATTTGTTTCTTATAGAAAGAAATGAAATTAAAAGAATGCACAGTTGCTACAGTACGATATGATGTAAATTAGAGCTTGGCTGAAGTAATGCCATACTCCGTATTAAATTAACGTAATGCAAATAATGATCTAGCTAGCAAAGCCGCCCTAAAAAGGATTTCTTCTTGGAACCTCTTTAGAATCATCTCAAAACTAAAGAAAGACTAATAGTGTGGGGAATTGACGTGCACTTTGTCGTAATGTGCACTCAAAATAATAATACAATACGACAGTAATACGCAGTATAGTGCAGTAAGGTTCGTATCCACAGGGAAAGGAACACTCTTCTTTTTATATAAATAAGAAATAATAACAGAGGGGTTTTATGTTTGGTTGATGAACTTAAATTATCTTTAAACACGAAGATGAACGAGTTATGTGGTTTAATTAATAAGAAGGAGACTTGGCTTTGCTTTTATCCACTTAATGAAATGTTCGTCGATCCCGGTTATATCTTTAACTATCTTCCTCTCGAATACTCAATCGAGGAGTATATCCAGTTCATCGAGGGTAGTTATTAATAACGAGAAGCGTTCATTAATAAAACTTACCATCGAGTCAATATAGAACAAGCGCCTTATATTAACTTGATAGTAGCAATAAACTTAAGATGAAAACGATTGAGATTGATAACCTCAACACAAGCGGTTTATTGGTTTAATCAATATAATTAATTCCCCTAGATTATTAACCATGAGATGCATGCTTTAATAATCCAAGTTTACTACCATGAAAGGACCGAATTAATAACAAGCGTATTAATCGACCGATTCTAGTATTAATTAATATATGAAACAAAACTAGTTGATCCTTTAAGTAATGTTCAACATATTAATATGAAATGCGAATAGGAATTAATTATTACTCAAGAAAGAATATTAAAGAAGATGAATCCTACTATAGTGAATATCAAGATGTTAACTAATTGTCATCTTAGTAACACTCCCCAATATTAACATAGAGGAAGAAATAATTATTACTATAACTAATGTCAAGATGTTAACTAATTGTCATCTTAGTAACAGTCCCCAACATTGATATAGTTTTAGTATTTAAAGGAAGAATTAATATTCAAGGAAGAAGATTAAAGAAAATAACTCACAACTTACAAATTCATTAAGCTTCAAAGTAGCAAAACCAAGATGGAAGAGTTTAGCTCCTCATTTGGAGACTAAACATGCTATAAAAATATAAAAGAAATACTAATCTAAACTGAGCTTAAGAGTATGGAAGAAGGGATGATTAAAAGTGAAGGAAAATGGGGCTATTTATAGGTGTTTTTCAACGCCTTTGGCCGGGTACCCGACCGGGTAAAGTGCCCACCCGACCGGGTGCATGTCAAAATCAAATATCTTCCACGTTCTGGCGATCTTCGGCACGTTCTGGTGTTCCGGGTCAAGTCG